ATGTACAGGGAGAGTGGGTGTAAATGTAATGCCATTCCAGCAATTTCCATAATTTCCCATTAAATCCCATCTAGTCAAACACCCTCAGTCCATTTTTAGTACTGAGCACTGGCCAGTCACTGTTTTTTCTGACTACTCTAGCAAAATCTAGCAGATGCTACATTAAGTCTGATGACACAAAGAAAATGTAAAAAAAATACTACTTGGAATTGATTTTGTTTTCAATAGATTAAAATCCTAAGAAACAGCCAACTGTTGTGGTTCTACTGGAGGTTTCACCTCCACACTAATTTTGCAGTGGTGTTGAACCACTAGCATTCAAATAGCAGAAATAGGTCTCTGTGCTTATGACGTCAAGCACAAAAACAGTGAGATTTTATTTACCATCCAATTTATATTGGGTAGCACCAGGACAAATGCCTGAGAGCTCTTTTTCAGGCACAGGGACTTAGAAATTTGCTTTTAAAAATCATATCAGGAAGCATTCTTCTGGAGTAACATTAAGTTTTTAACATTAATCTGACTTCAAATTAAACCAAACCTACAGGTTCACCAGCTTCTATGAAAGCTTTGATTAGCTGGTAGCAAAGCGCAGTCATGGGCACCTCTGTATTCTCTGTCACAAAAGTCAACCTCAGCGCAGAGTGCTGTCCTTGGACACAGCCTGGCTCTGTAAGGCACAACTTTTATTTCTGAAAGAAAACAAAACCAAAGCCTGCAAGGGTTCACCTCCCCTTATAACAAAAGGGAACTACAAATTCAAAGTGGCTTAAAAAAATGAAGCATTCTCCTTATTTCTTTGTTGCTTCTTCTTCAGTTATCTACAGGTTCATAACTTAAGAAATTAATAACTTAAGAATCTGACTGATAACTCCCTTGAGTAGGGATATTGTAACTTACACCAGCTCAGATGTCACAATTTTGAAATTAAGAAACAATAATATCAAACTATACATTTTCTTCTGTTCCTTGATAAGTAAGTCAATTAAAGTGCTCCAGTTTTGGGGTTGGTGTGTTTTTGGTGAGGTTTTTTTGCCTACTTGCAATCTCCTGAAAAGTGGCAAAAAAAATATTACGATGTCTGTAATTTGCCAAAAAGTGTGGCAAAAAAAACAATTTAGATTTTATAGATTTATTCGTATCGTTCCACTCGTCACTGGAATTTTTAGATGTTGATTTTTTACATGACGATTTCAGAGTTAAAAGGAAACAGGATGCCGGTTGTTCAGGCATTACAGTATTCACTAGAGGACCTATATTGGCATCACAACTGCTTACTGTAAGTTAGAGCTCTATCTCTTAATGTTTCAAGATGCTGTATTCTGCAGTTTTACTTCCTTTTTGGAAAGCAAGTAGGATGTTTGCTAGGAAATTACTTTTATTGGGAAATACTGGAACTAAATTAGTATTTTGGATGACACTTGAAATGGGAATTATGTCATTTTCACATAAGCCTATCTGGTGATACTAAACCTAGATAATCGGCTTTGATGGAGATCAAGTCTTTGCTGCAAAGGTATAAAAATATCTAGCTGGCTTGTTAGCCTACACTTTACACCAGAGAATGATCTAGAGTTAAAAATGATGGGAGCTTAGAAGCTTTAAATTATATGGGAAACTTTCATATTTCTGCTCTACATAATTGGAGCTGAACTGCCAGAGCTTTCTGAACACTTTGGCAAAGAGTAATCCATTTCACAAGTTTATGAAGCCACCAAAGCTGTGAAGTCATTGATTTCATTCATCACATGCAGACGTGAGAAGAGTGTATTTAGCTCGTCCCCATACCACTGAATGGGACGCTGAGCATCTTGGAATTCTACGTGAAAGAACTTAACTACTGCCATAGAAATTTGGTATTTCACACGTATTTTAGAAAGGCTGCAGAGTAGCAAAATGTAGCTGGATGAGGAATTGAATATTTGTAATTATCATGATCCCAGAGGAATATATTTGGCAAAAAATACCTCTCCCTGTGAGTGTTCTTTTGTAGTTTGTCATTATACATGCACAACAAAACACCACCAAGGTTAAAATCATCTTTACCCTTACAAAACATCAGTATTGTGGAATGATACAATTATGTCCTATTCTGACAGCATCATCAGAATACGGCAGGAATTTACTTTTTGCAGAAATCTAGCAGTTTAAGTAAATAATTAAAGGTCACAATCAATAGATGGTGACTAGATTTCAAGACTAAGTGGGTTGTCACATTAGGAACTGTTTCCATTAGCAAGCCCATAGGGAAGAAAAGCGAAGGGAAATACAGTCTGCTTTCCCTTGTGTCAGTTGCACCTCTGAAATCTTGAAAACACTTAAAGATGTGTTTTGTGTTTAAGTGGAGCAGAGGACTATGCAGCCTGTCCAAAGTCACTCTCTGATGTAAGAAATGTTTTTCACCCAAGTTCTTCCTGCAATCCACATACACTCACAAGACGTGGAGTCAATGCAAAGTATTTGCCATTGACAAACAAGTGTCTAATAATGAAAAAAATACATCAACAACCTGCAGTAACAGCGATAACCACTATTCCACAATACTGAAGGTCACCCTCCCCCTAAAGTTTAAAGGTTGCACCCTGCAGGTACAGCACTACATATAACAGGGAAGGACAAACGTGCCTAACAATCATAAGACACCAATCCTAATAAACCTGTCAATCCATCAGCACAGCACCACTACTCTGCGAATTTTCAGAATCAGGTAGCACAAGCGTTTAGGAAGGGAGTTCTGAAACCAAGTCAGTGCCATAAACCAGTCAGTGCTATTCTTGTGTTCCTAAAATGTGTAAGGAAATCCAGAAAATAATTACACATGGCTATTCCTTTAATGTAAGAACAGAATGACAAAGATTTCATTCAATTAAATTCACTGTAATTGATGCAGCTGAGTCTTGCAGTGGTGAGGTACTGGAACAGGTTGCCCAGAGAAGCTGTGGATGCCCCATCCCTGGAAGTGTTCAAGGCCAGGCTGGATGAGGCTTTGAGCAATCTGGTCTAGTGGAAGGTGTCCCTGCCCATGGCAGGGGGGTTGGAACTGGGTGATCTTTAAGGTCCCTTCCAACCCAAACCATTCTATTATTAAGGGGAAAAAAAAGAGGCCTATTTGAACCATATGAACAACTCTTTAGTTGCTATCTGCCTGACAGGGACAGGAAAATTTGAGAGCAAAGCTTAGGTATTTCCTGTAGAGAAAATCTGAAGCACCCCACAGAGGTGAGGGAAGGTTACCCTGGCAGGTGAGCGCTCAGCAAGTTTCTGATGGCAGGTCATTCCACAGTGATTCATTCCTCTGGAGCGGTAACTCTGCCAGTTGAGGTCTTGATGTCACCTTTGACAGCTGCTGTTGGTCTGGTAGCAGCAGATGCTGAACTCTTGTGCAGCACAGAAAAGACAGGCTGTAGCTGCTAAAGGGATGTGAAGATAAGAGGGATGTGGTTGCCGACAAACTGGCAACACAGCAGCAGCAACTTGGGTGGCTACACCAAGCTGTCATGGCACAGATGACCACATCTTACTGCTCAGAAACAGCTGGTAACCCAGCAGGCAGGATCAGGTCAGCAGGCACTTGGCTTATACCATGATGCTTTACTGCAAAAGAGTTGTTTTGGAGCCCAGTGACAGACGGTTAGTGTGGGGACACGGATACCCACCAAACCAAAGCAGGATGGTTTTTGTGCAAGTTCAGCACAACACAATTACCAGTAACTAGAGAGACCAATGGCATGTGTTGTGCTATAATCAGCAGTCTGACATAGATAATTCAAGAAGAGTCAATGCTCATTAATGTGTAAAAAAAATAAGTTTATTCCTGACTTCTTGGTTTAGCAGAATGCTTTCCAGAGATTTCAGTTCCTTCTGACCTCTTCAGAACATCCACAGTGAATGCCTGTCCACAAGTAGCCAATAAGCATGAACAGTCACCCCCATGAAAGCTTTGTCTGCCACCCCTGCCTTCAGCCACCTCCTCTTTTGCCCCACCTCTGAGATGATTCAATGTTTTACCAGTGGCTTATTAGGAAATAATATAATGATTTTTCCCCCCACACTCCTGCAGTAGTTTTCTCTAAGGCTGAAGAGTTAATTCACGGCACAGAAGCTCAAAAAGAAGTGCCAGAGATGATGCAAGAGGAAGTGGTGGGAATGCATCGCCCCTAGTAGAAAACAAGGTCAACTGGTGCTCACCCTGTCTCAATTCACCCTTGGGACTAGTCTCAGTACTCACTCAGAAAGTTAGTCAATCCAGGCTTAGACTGATGACTCTGGGGGGCCATTCCAGTAGATTTTGAAAGAAGAGACTAAGGTACATAAATAAGTGAGACTGTATTTCAATGAGCAGTTTCATTACATCTACCTTAGGCTGGCTAATCACAGGTCATAAAAAGGTGTTTTAAAGTTGTAATAAACAAATCTTATTAAAAATGAATGAATTAAAAAAAGTAAAAACCAGACAAGACCCAGAGCAGTCTCTCAGTAACAACTTCCAAATGCATGCTATAAAATTATGTTTCCTACTCATTATAATGACAGTCAAAAGAATTTAAAAATATATATATGTTACAGGCTTAATTTAAAAAAAGGAACCTATTAACATGGTGTGAATGAACCAAGTTCAAACAACGCTTTAAAGTTTACACCTAACTTCTAATTAAGGGGTCGTCTTCCCTTTTTTCCCCAAGAATAAAGGCAAGTATAACTTTCAGAAATGGAGACCTAGAACAAGTTAAATGATATAGCAGTAGAGCAGGATCAACAAATGCAGGTTGTTGAAATGTTCATTTTTAAAGCATATAATATGTCACATTAGTTCTCCACAGCCTTTTACAAAATCTTTTTTTTTTGAATCTGAATTTTCATTCCGCCTACTGTAGCATTTCACAGGATTCATAAATAGCAATGATTGTTAAATTGTTTGTTTGTTTGAACCCTCCTTTTCTTCCTGGATGTGTTTAACAGTCAAAACTGACTGCTAATATCTGTCAATCAGCAGAGTATAACAGCACCCTCTTCTGGCTTTAACAGCTGAGGTGGAATCTGAAACTCCCATCATGTTAGAAACCTGTATAGGAGAAACAAGACAAAAGTGAAAATATTCTAAAACTCTAGGTATTCAGTAAAAGGAAATAGGCAAAGGAATATTAATGCCACTGTGTTAGCCCAGCCTATTCAACTGCAGAGGCTGAAGAGCCGTTTTAGAATGGCTGTTGTGGGCCATGAGGTAGCCCTGTGCAGGTGTGGCTAGCCAGCATGTCCTCATCACTGCATGCAGTGGCAGCACTCCAAATACCTGTTCACACAGAGGCTCACTTGACAGCAAGCCTCCTGTCCCACTGCCTCCTTCTCTAGTGTGGGCATAAAGGCTAATGACCCACGTACCTGTCTGTTCTGGGCTCATGCTGCCTGAGCAGCCATTTGTCATCTCTCCTGATGCAAACTGGGTGGGTGGAGAGGATTATCTGATGGGCCAACTTAGCCTATCCTGTTTAATTAGACCATCATTTTGGCCTAACAACTCCTTTTTAATCTCAGTACTGGTTTCTTTAAACTTGCTTAGGTTTTTAGGAAGAAGTGTCCAGACTCTGAAATATTATGCTACCAGTGCATTTTGCTGCAACAACCTGTATATAGCTTAAGTGAGAATTGTTTCAGGGATCCTCCATGTAAAGTACTGCCTGATCATATTATCCGTGTGCTTTTAATTCAAAATATTTGTTACAAAAACTTTCAAAACACTGATCATTGCTGCATTAGAAAAGAGAAAGTCATGGTAATTTTCTGTATGAGGTAAACAGGTGATGCTCATCAATGAAACTTAATCAAATTGCAACCAGCCTTTTCTGCTGAAGGAAAAGAAAACAACCACCCATCATGTAAGTAATACCCTTGAGATGGACTAAAATCAAACCTGGAAGTGGTTGCTAAGGCATCTCTGTATAAATTAGCTTACTAGGCTGGAGTCTTCTCCACTGACTTTTTCTGGTAATGCTTGATACAATTCAGTTTGAAAAAGCAATCACATTCCCTGCTGTACATAGGTGCTAAAACATGCACAGGACATACTTAACTATTAATACATATCTTTTTGTTCCACTGTGTGTAACGGGGCATTATCTCAGGCACAAACACAATTGCACTGGTAACAGAGTGGAGTGGAGGAGATGTGTAATACTGAACCTTCCTGAGTGGGAAAGCAGACTGGAGTGATGGTGTCATCTGTAGTCTCTCCCTCCAAAGAGATCCTGTCTACAGATAAATTCACACCTGAATATGAATGTTGTTGTCATTTACACGATCCCATTTTCTCCTGCTGGATGTTTTGAAGGATCTAGCCCATGCTGCTTCATCTGCACGGCGATATCAAACAAGTAATCGTAACACTCACACCTAAAATTAAAAGGAAAAAAATGTGAAATGTAAAGTAAGGCTCAAGTCTTACCAGGTTTTATGGATATAGTTTACTTCCTTGAGCTGTACATCACCAATGCGACAGTCTGACTTGGACAGCTCTGTTATCATTTATTTCCATTATTGTGGTATGGAAAGTACCCAGCATTTTTGTTACATGAGCCTCATTTGCTGCATTTCCGTCAGCAAATGAAGAAAATTCCAAAAATGGGACTAGGGAAGACTACACAAAGAGTATTGGCAGGTGTCAGGTATAAAAGCAGAGACTGCCTGCAGGTTTCATGAGGAAGGCTTGTCCATATGAAAGGAAAATGTTGGTAACCCTATCAGTCAGCATTGATACGAAAGGAAAACCAAGCGGTGGAATCATGAATGAACACATTCCCAAAAGCTCCCTATGCATTCCGTGTAGCCAGAACTTAATGTTCTGAATCATTGTCCATGGGTTGGAAACACACATGACATTAAGGTCATGAGGATTTTGAGGTATAATGGCAAAAGATATCACATTCCTAAATTGTGCTCACATCGTTTTGGCTTTTTCCCATGTTTCTCCCCACACATAAACCCCGTGACGTCTGACCAAAACAGCACAAGAGTCTGGGTATCTTTCCAAGGCACGTGCCATTCTCTCCTTGAGATCCTTCTCTTCTGGTGTATTCTCAATAATGGGAACCACTAGTGTATCATCATATCTGAAAGAAAAATAAATGTTCATGTGTTTAAAAATTGCTGTGTTTGGATGTATGAAGCTTTTCCCAAAGAAAGAGATTCTCCTTTGACTGTGTAGAGATGTTAACAAATTCTCAACACTAGTGATTTTACACTATTCTCTTGGGAGTCACAGTGTAATAGAAGAACACTCAGGAACGTCTCTCACTCCCAAATGTATGCTATGCTGGCAATACCTGAGCTACACTTGAGGCACAAACAGAAAATAACACTTTAATGTATTAGGTGTAGCTTTTTGTTCACATATCACTCTGTAGTTAGGTCCCTTTACAACTTTTTCAGACTCTCTTCATCCTGTATTGGCATCATCTACAAGCTTTATCTCAGATTAAATTATTTAAAAGAATCACATCATGAAGAAGGAAATGAAGCTGTTTGCTGGAGAGCAGGGAAAAAAAAAAAATTAGCTAGTCCAAAAAGCCCCTGGAAATAAGATTGTCCTGCTAAGGCGTATAAATAGAAAATAGAGTCAACACATGAAAAAAATTCTCTGTGATGGAGTCATTGGTGGGCTATATGTGATCTTAAGACAGCCTGAGAACCCCAGTTCCAAAAACAAGATGATGCATGTTACACAGTGGAACTTGCCTAAGAGTTTCTTCTGAAGGAGGACTGGGATATTTGGCATTGTTTGAACCTTAATTAACACTGGCAGAAACTTGTTTAAATAGTTTTAATAAGTCCCCAGTTCAGATTCAGATTTATCATTGAGATCACATAGATAATTCATGAGTGGATGCTAGTAGTACTTACTTTTACAAAACACAGAAAGAGAGCAATGGTAAAAATAATACAGCTTGTACTTCAAATCAGATCATCAGAAAACTGAAGTCTCATCCCTTACAGTTTTCAATGGTGATGCACTATCAGAACAGTGAACGAAATGGGATTCGTAGGTGTACTTTGACTCTTCCCTGTTCTGATCGTAACAATTGGATGTGGAGTGTTTGCTACTAGGGAGGCCAAACGAGCTAAGGGCCTGGTTTCCTAGGTTCTGCTTTCTACTTGGACGTCAGTTTGGAAGTGGGTATACATACCATAACTGATGTCTAAACATAACCATAAGGTTTTTATCAAGAGCTAATATCTATAAAACCCTAAGAAGACTCTGAATGAGTTAAATACATAATAACTCTTCAGTTTCATTGAAATATAAGCAGCCTACATTTAGCCAAACCTTCATATAAAATATCTTGGGACTGTCTCAGACTTTCAAAGCCTTTCACTACAGATCTAATTCTTCTACTGAAGTCAAAGGTAAAACTATTCTGGCATCACTGAGATCATATTAAGGCAAACAAATACTTCTGATTATCCTACCTGTAGAATTTTCCTGAATAGCTTCCAGAAAAGCTTTATGCAATTAGAAACAATATATCGTCAATCCCTTTTTTGAAAGATCTCATTCTGTACTATTGAATTTCTTTTGAATTCCACGGGAAGCCTCGTGTGAGGCAAGACTGTGGAATCAGTCTAGTATGGACGAATATGTACTTCGGAACCATGTAAACTAGAGCTTTGATTTCTTTAGATTTTCTGGTAAATTAACAGGATGACACAGGACAACTTTGAAATACGGAACCCAATAAATACAATGTCTCCTAACTAACATTTAGAATGTTTGAGAATTCAAAATGGATAGCCAAAAAAGAAAATTGTGATGGAATTTTTTAAAACCAGTGTCATTATACAATTCAATGTAAGGGCTGTTCTTTTGCCACATTAAAAATGCAAATGCTAAGAAGGTAAAGTTGGCAAGTCAACCAAAACTGAATAAAATATGCCTGGGTGTAAAATCACATGCCAGACACATGGCTTGCTCACTTGCCAAAAGCAAGTTAGTTACAAAAATTAGCATCAAAAAGTGGGAAGAACTTAGCATTTCAATTTTTCATCTAATCGTCACATATTATACACAAGTTGTTTGTGGATCCCAGTTCAGTGCTCTGTGGGTGGAGTCCTCAAAACAAGCCATCACACATAATTTGGAATAACTCAGCACTTACCTCAGAGTTCATCCTTGAAAGGTAATAATACTATCTTTAATGTGCTGTTTATTCTGAATCTTCTTTCAAACTGTGTCAAGTAAAGTCTGAAATCCTCCACTCTCTTAACATGCCCTGAACTAGCACAGGCAGTGGTACGTGAAGTCCACCCAAATGTAGTTTGTACACTGTCAGTCCAAGCTAATGTTGGTTGGCTCCAGTTTCAGTTTCACATTTTATAGCTGAGTTAACAGTTCTGTTCTCAAGGCATTTGTCAGGACAAAGCGCTTTATCTAGTTTGTATCTGTAGCTCAACAGACCACAGTAGCCTTGGCATTACAAGATTTTATCCCAGATCTCTTTCCATAGGCTTGAGGCTTTCTTTGGGAAAGCCAATGACTGATTCAGAGATTTCCTTCTTATTCCTAATACTTTATATTACACACTTTAATGAACATAAAATGACTTGCCACCTATTTATATTGCTGAAAACAAATGATCAAATAGTATGCCTCTGTTCTTATATATAGAGACATACCGGTAATAGCCTCCAGAAGTACACTTCTGGATTCCTTTTATCATCTCCTGATGGGTAATGCTGAACTCACTCCCTGGGTAAAGAAGAGTAACCATAACAGCAGCCTTGGAATGAGTATGGATCACTGCACCTGCCCCTAAGAACAGAAAAGGAAGAAAAAAAATATATTTTTAGCATTAATTTTAAAATGTGTCTATTAAGAATATTTTATTCACAGACTTGAATCATTTCCTTTGGGTAGGCATCCTAGCAAATGGTAATTTACTGTATTAGAGGAAAAAATATAAAACAACCTAAATGAAGGTATGAGAAAGTTACTCACATATAAAGGATCATTATGGATTGTCTTAGGACGCTAGTGTTAACTTCTGGTTAGTGACAAATTCCAGGAGAGAAACTACTTGCACAGATTCAAGGAGAAACACTACCTGTACATTTCTTTATATACTGCAATGACTGAAAAAGTCTACTAATTTTATCATAGTTCTGAGATTCTAAAAAAGTCCCAAACTTATTATTTGTGAGATGAAATTTTAAAGGCTTTTGCTTTCTTTTTATGCTAGCACTCTTCTTCGATTATCTGCTGACACTGAAAAAAATTGTTATTGTTATCTTATTGTGTCATGATGGAAAGGTAGGTAGACAATAATTATAATTTACTAATTAAGTTGCAATGTTGCCTAAAACATGAAATGAGTTTTCCTCAGGTATACATGTATGCTTCTGGTGCAGGAAGATCAGAAAAGGCTCCCTAAATCCTTTCTAAAGTAATAGATGTAAATCTTACACAACAGCAAAAGCTCTTTATTACGGTCCACCTGCAAAAGAGAAGTTTCCTATGTTCTTCACCTCTCAGCAACTTAGAACCTCCGAACACAGCCAATGGTTGTGAAAGGATCTAAACCACAGTCGCTGAGTACACAAAACACCCTGTATAAAACTGCTGTAAATCTCCCAGTTCCTCCTGCAACCTATGAAAACACTGTACTAAAAATCAGTGCCATAAAGATGATCACAGGTACAGCTACATGAAAAGATTAAAATGCAAATGACATTCCCAGGACATTACCATGGATTACCTGCCGTTGTACATATCCCTTTGCAAATCAATTTATTTTATAGTTTCATGTTTATTTCACTGTAATCTCCATACATAAAGAATATGGTACTGAATTTCAATTTTGTGTATGTGTATATACAGTGTTTCAGTTACTGCTGAACTAAAAACATTTGCTACCCACCTCTCATAGTGTAGGCGTTCATAAAAAGAGGTGTGCACTGGCTTTTCTTCAGTTTCTTGTGCGGGGGAGGACCACTGATGTCCCGTTCGTTCATGTCACAAACAAACATATCTTCTGGCTGTAAGAAAGAAGAAACTATTTTCACCTATGATGACCTGAATAGTTTTGTTTTCTTTCTCGGCCAACAAATACATACACCATATATTTAATGTAGAACGTGACTTTAACTTTGTAAAAGTACTGTAACGCACCACATTTATTGTAGCTTCCAATACTATTTACTGACACTGTGGAATATGAATTAATGTTAGGCACTCTTTTTATCCAGACTGCTGCCAAGCAGATACTTGTGAAACTAAAATTTTCTCAGAAAGGAGACAGCCTGTATCAAAATAACAGACAAAAGATCAAAAGGAAAAGTAAGGAAATAATTTATTCAAAAAAAGAAATGTAGATGTACTTCCCTTTCTCCCCCTTAAAGAACCAACAAAGGACAAGAATTAAACCTACGTATAATATATTTAACTTGTAGAACTATTTTTTTAAAACTTGCTTTTAGTAGCTTTAGATGAAAGTTAATCTTTGCAGCAACCAGCTACTCATAATAGTACAAAGAATTGTTCAGGGCAGCAATAAAACTTTCTTCTTTAATGTTATTTATTAAGGGGGCCTACAAGGAAGCTGGGAGGGGACTTTTTACAAGGGCCTGTAGTGACAGGACAAGGCGTAACGGGTTTAAATTGAAAGTGGGGAGGTTTAGATTGGATATCAGGAAGAAGTTCTTCATGGAGAGGGTAGTGAGGCACTGGAACAGGTTGCCCAGAGAAGCTGTGGATGCCCCATCCCTGGAAGTGTTCAAGGCCAGGCTGGATGAGGCTTTGAGCAACCTGGTCTAGTGGAAGGTGTCCCTGCCCATGACAAGGGGATTGGAACTAGATGGTCTTTAAGGTCCCTTCCAACCCAAATGATTCTGTGATTCTATGATTTTAGGAAATACAGTTGCAAGATTTCTATACTGTGGTCAATCCACTGCTACTGCTAGCAAAGACCAGACCGTCACGGTCTTGCCATGTTATACCTTTGCCTGCTTTACTGGCTAACATCCCCAGTAAGCACTGCTGCAAATCCCCAAGTTTCTATCAGTGAAGAGATTCCTTTCACTTCTCATTTTACTTACTCTCAGATGTATAAAACAACAAATCATTCTCACAT